GAGGGCACCCGCTGAAGTTGGCACTCCAAAAGAGCCGTCTTGACTGCAGACGTCATTCGTTTGCAGTCAGAGTGTGCAGCACATGGAACTTTCTACCCCCTCACGTGGTCTGTGCCCCGACATTAGTATCTTTCAAGCGTCAGCTTGATGATGCACTGGCAATCATTGCTTTTCAACACCCAACTACATAATATATTCTCCTGTGCACGTAAAAAACATTACCTTACTACTGTAATTTCATGAATGTACTGTGTGTGACATTGTGAATCGTGTTCCGAACCAAAGTGTAAACACCCTATGGGATTTGAAAAAGCGAAGTCTTTGTAAGTTATATCCCATAATAAAAATTTGAATTTGAATTTGAATTTGAATAACTAACATGGGGTCGTAATTCAAGCAAAAAATGATACAGTCACCATGTTTTTGGCCGACAGTGAGACAAATCGGACCACACAGACCCTATGGATATTTTGACTGAAAGAAGATATATCTTCACGTGGTCTTCAGACTTGTGCGCTTCACTAGACTCCCAATCCCTTTGTAGTGCAAGGATGACAGAAGGGTTCAGAGATAGTATACATTCAATTATGGATTGGACAGTATTTGTAGACTATTGCCTTTTAAGCTGTTTAATCAACGTAGATTCTCTCGTGCAAAACAACTAGCTCGGAATTGTCTCAATGCTGGATTCTCACATGGTTGTCTTCCGTTACCGTTTCTCCTCCGGATAGCGATTCTTCAGGTAGTGAAATAGAACACAGCTGGAAGTTTGTAGGGATTTGTCCTCGAGGTAAGTTCTTGGAAGCTCATTGAGTAGGTCAGCGTGTCATAGATATTGTAATCATTAACAGGAAGGGAGCCTCTCTTACCAACTGGATCCACTTCGACATTCTTTCATGTGGGACGCATTTACAGATGTTGATTATCGTCCGAAAGGAAAGCAAAAAAAAGAGGCTTCTTTTTCATTTCGGCTTATGTGACAACCAACTGTAACCCCAATTTACAAAACGACAAATTTTAAGACACACTCACAGAACTCATTCGATTGAGCCGCAGCTCTGGGGATCTGGTGCTGGAGAGTGTTCTCAATGCGCAGGTTGGAAAGCCCGTCTAGTGGCGGGGGCGGTTGCTTCGCCCTTCCAACCCAGCTAACAGACAACGGTGATCGACTACTTGCGTTCTGAGCAGATCATTGATTGTTATTATTTGGCACCAACTTTTAAAACATCTCCCGTCGGACGGCAACGTAGTATTCTAGTTCAATAAGTAGGTTCGATCTAAATTGACGTCTTAGCTGTAAGCTATGATTGGTGTGGTTCAGTATGGCGGTAGTATGGTGGTTCAGTATGGCGATGGTGGCCCGGTGGTAACGTCACCAAATTATCACTCCCCGGGATGTGTTGGAATCCCACCACCACCGCCTGACTTTACCCATTGTGTGTTCAATGGCAGCCCTTTGATCGGCCGCTTCTCCCCTTCCTGAAAATTGTACCATTGCATGTTCAATAAAGAGGAAGTAAAAGAAAAAAAATATTAGACCGCTTGCGTTGATTCTGATCAAGCACTAGTTCTGATGCGCTTTGCACTTCGACTCATCGATC